ACAGGGTCTCCCTGTAGCCCCAGCTGTCCTGGAACTCACTGTGTAGAAGGCTGGCCTTGAACTCATAGAGATCCGCCTGCCCCTGCCTCCCAAGTGCTGGGATTAAAGGCATGCGACACCACGTCCGGCAGTCTTTTTTTTTTTTTTTAAATCAATTTTTGTTTCTTGGGTAGAACTTTTGTGCCCTCCTTAATAATCCTCCCCCCTCTTAAGATCCCAAAGACAATCCTGCTAAGTTTTCTTCTAAACTCTTTCTGTCTTAGATATCAGTTTTGTTAACATTCACAGTCAGATCTAGAATCAGATTTTTAAATACCAGCTACCTTTCAAAAACCCTGACTTCAGTGAGTTCCAGGCCAGAGAGGGCTACATAGTGAAACCCTGTCTCAAAAACCAAACGAAACAAAAAATCCTGACTTCTTTGCCCCAGCGTGTCCTTGATTTAACATCACATCTTTTTAGCCACCCTACGGCTGGCTTGTGCAGTGGATGTCCCTTCCATTTCCTGGTGTGCTCTGCCCACCCCTCTTCCATAATCATCCCCTCTGGCGGAGGTCACAGAGGAAATATTTAGTTAGTCTTTGCCAAACATTCTGGCTGTGTTGTTTTGCTTAAAAGACATGCAGATAAACTGTTTTGCTTCTTGGTATTGGTGCTCTAGTGCAGATGTTTCTCCTGTAACAGAAGGATTGTGCTCAGCTGGGAGGACTGATCGGTCCTGGGTTTGGAGAATAGGATTCTGATCCTTGCGCTATTAATTTGTGGTGTGATCTTGTGCAAGGCACTTTCTATATCTCAATTTCCTTTTGTCAAAGGGTCTTTATTTCATGATAAAGAGGATAAGACGTTATGGGTGTGAGATCCGAACCCAGAGAGCAAGCCTGGGGACCACGAAGTGAGTATAGGCAGGCGACAGAGAGCCATTACCATGATCACAGTCCTGTTAGTGGAATCGAAAGGGAACCCAAATGACTTGTATAAAGATAAAGCTGATCCATGCAATCATCTTGAAAAAGTAGAAAGTTCCATAAAATGATGAACACTCCCTCACAAGGATCACTTCAGGAGAGAACTGCCTCGGCCAATGGGTTTGCTCTGGGTCCCCATCTGTTTGCTGACACCCTTGGGGCATGGGAGGCCTGTTCTCCTGTGGGTTCTGTTCCAGAATTTCTCCTCCTACCTTCTACCTCCTTCACAAACTTGAGAATGTTTGAAATTCAGCCCAGATTTTCACCTGGCTTTGGAGATCGGTCCTTGGAAGTTGGAGCTTCAGGAAACCTTAAATGTTTGCTAACAAGTTCAACTTCTGCGTGTCTGGATGGCTCCTTCTGTGCTATACATGGCTTTGTTCCAAATTCTGGGCTCTGGAGGAGATAGGATTTGCTGGTAGCAAGGAAAGGGAGAGTATCTGGGGATCCTGTTACCAAGAGCTCTGGCATAAAAGTAGACTGATGAGATGAGAGATGTCCCACAAGAACACCAAGGGGTCTTTGAAGAACAGGCAAAACAGTTTAACTTCTTATACAAACCCTAACTTTCCTTCCCACTATCCACAGATATCAGAGCCACTGGCCACAGAAGAACTCTATTTCTTCCTCATTTTGGTTCCCTTCTGAAATACGCTGGGATTTAATCAGATCTTGCCTCATTGAGACCCTTTTCCTTTCCCTTTAAGATTTGCCTTTGTTTCCTTTGGTGTAGAATGAGCCAGACAGTCTCTGAGGTCTTCGGCTACCCAGTGGTTCTTTGTAAAGCCTAAATGGCCCTGGGGATGCCTGTCTCTGTGGGGTTGGTGATGAGGCTGAGGCTGCATGCTCACTATTGCTCCCTCATCCCTCAGAGGCTCTTGGGCTGCTAACTTGCTAGAGGAAGCCACAGAACATGGCAGAGTAGTTCTGGAGAGAAGCGTTACTTACTTGACTCTCTAGACTTCAAGCAGTCCCTGCCTGCTAGTCTGCAACCTTTTATTTATCTCTGAGTCCCAGGACAATCCGCACAGTGATCATCCCACTATTTTTATTTGCTTTTGTATTCTGTAAGCCCTGACTCCATGCTAAACTCTACCTCACCAATGAGGGTGACTTCTGCTGTCCTGGAACCTTTAGGCCTAGGTGATACAGTTCCTTTTTCTTGAGAGAGTAGGCATTGCCATCTAGCCAGCCCCAGGAAACCAGGAAGTGAGCATTACTGGAGGCTTGTAGACTTGTTCATGTGACCAGCAACATCTGGGTGAAATAATGGTTTGATTTGGGATTGATAAGAGGCTGTGAGCCTGTCTGGCAGGTGGCACCCCCAATTCTATGTGGTCTTAAGTTGTTCTAAGCTATGACTGCCACTGGTGATTGTCTTGTTAATGCAAGATGTGTCCTCATTGACAGAGGAGTTCTGGGTTCTTGTGAACCTGCTGCATTTGTTTGTCAAATCCTACTCACATGGTTTTTAATTCTGCCCTTTCTTTCCTTTTCTCTCCAACCTGTTGTGCTTTCTTTCCTTAGCAAACACCCTCTCGGTCCCCATTCCTCTCTGGTTATGGGGTAAAAGCTCTAATCCTGGCCAATAAGCATGATAAGCATTGTGCTAAGAACAGTTCTGAAAAGAAAGTCAGACATTTGAAGATGAAATTAGATGGTATGCAGCCATAAAGAAAAATCAAATTCTGTCATTTTCTGGAAAATGAATACAACTGGAGATTGTCATATTAAGTGAAGTAGGCCAAACTCAAAAAGACAAATATTGATTTTTTTTTCCCCTCTCATTTGCACTCTTGGGGAGGACCTGAGTTCTGTTCCCAGTACCTATGTCAGGTGACTCACAGTTACTTATAATTCTAGCCTCAGGGGATCTGATGCCCTCTTTTGGGCTTTTGGGGCAACTGTACTCACATGTGCACGTACCCACACACAGGTGTACATATCACAAACAGGTACACACATCACATGATTAAAAATAATAAAAAATAAACTTTAAAAATATTAGCTGGGGGCTGGAGAGATGACTCAGCTGTTAAGAGCACTGGCTACTCTTGCAGAAGACTAGGGTTTGGTTCCCAGCACTCACATGGTGGTTGGTTAACAACCATCTGTAACTCCAGTTCTAGGGGATCTGAGGCCCTCTTCTGGCCTCCATGCATACTGTTCCACTTACATACATGCAGGCTAAACACTTACACACAGAAAGTATAAATACATTGAAAAATGATGTGAAATGTGTTATCAGTATTGTCCTTGGGAATACCCTGCAAAATGCCTTCAAAAGCCTATTTTTTATTATTTATTTATTTATTTTTATCTTTTTGAGACAGGGTCTCCCTGTAGCCCCAGCTGTCATGGAACTCACTATGTAGACCAAGCTGGCTTTGAACTCACAGAACTCACAGAGATCCGCCTGCCTCTGCCTCCTGAGTGCTGGGATTAAAGGTGTGCACCACCACGCCTGGCTTTATTATTTTTATTTTTTGGTCTTTTTGAGACAGGGTCTCCCTGTAGCCCCAGCTGTCCTGGAGCTCACTATGTAGACTAGGCTGGCTGGCCTTGAACTCACAGAGATCCGCCTGCTTCTGCCTCCTGAGTGCTGGGATTAAAGGCGTGTGCTACCACGCCTGGCCTGGCTTATTATTTTATTTTTTAAAAGTAAGTTAAAAGGTTTTTTAAATTTTTATTCTTTTTATTTTATATGTATGCATGTACTGCCTGCATGTAGGTAAGTGCACTTGTCTGCATTGCTGGAGGAGGTCAGAAGAGGCTGTTGGATCCCCCTGGGACTGGAGTTACAGGCAATGGTTAGCTGCCATGATGGTGCTGGGATTTGAACCTGGGTCTTCTGCAAGAACAACCAGTGTTCTTAACTGCTGAGCCATCTTTCCCGCCCCTAAAAGTAGTTTTTGAGACAGAGGCTCATGTAGTCCAGGCTAGCCTTGACTTTGATAGTAGCTGAGGCTGACCTTGAACTTCTGATCCTCCTGCCTCCATCTTCTTGGTGCTGTGATTATAAATGTGTGTCACTGTGCTAGGTATCTTTAGTTGTCAACTTGACACATCTAGGTTGAGGAAGCTTCAGTTGGGGAATTGCCTCCATTGGACTGGCATGGGGTCATGTCTGTGAGGTATTTTCTTGATTGTGGAGTGATGTGGGAGGACCCAGCTCACTGTGGGTGGTTCTATATTGTATAAGAAAGTAGGCTGAACTTGTGCCAGAGAAGCAAGCCAGTAAGCAGCATTCCTCTGTGGTCTGTGCTCCAGGTTCCTGCCCCAAGTTCCTGCCTTGACTTCCCTTGATGATAGACTGCTTATAAGTCAAATAAACCCTTTCCTCCCCAAGTTGGTATTGGTCAGAGTGTTTTGTCATAGCAATTTAAAGCAAACTAGAAGAGCCACCATAACCTGGACCCATATTTTTTATTTTATTTTTATTTTATTTTAAAATTTTTATTTTATGTGTCTTGAGTGTTTTGTCTACATGTGTAAGTGCATCTGTGTCATGCAGTACCTACGGAAGCCAGAAGAGGGCATTGGATCCTCTAAACTGGAGTTATGGATGGTTGTTAGCCACTATGTGAGTGCTGGAAACCGAACCTGGGTCCTCTGCAAGAGCAGCCAGTGCTATTAACCACTGAGTCATCTCTCCAGCTCTTCCATTTAAACAAAAATATAGAATGCCTCATGATTTTACTGCCATTGTTGTGCAAGGATTATGCTAATCTCTATATCATGTCAATTTTAGTTGCTGAAGCAAGTACCCAGCTCTATCTTTTAATGAACTTGTCTTCCTTCTCAACTACAATTTGAGAGCTATGTAAACATTATATACTTTTATGTTTTATTATTGCTAGTGTTTGCATAAGTATTGTTTTGTATCTTTGTCACATAAAGCATGCTATTCAGTAACGAGCTTATCTAGGCATCCAACCATCAGGTCTAAAGTTCCTGTTGTCATTATAAAAGTGAATGGCTGATATAGGAAAGGTCTATGAAAATTCAATCGATTCGTCCTCTGACTGCACTCCTACTGTATAGAGAGGAAAAAAAGTAGTTCCAAAGGATTCTTGGGGCAAGGTCAGAAAAGCATAACCCTTCTGCTGAGCTGGAGTCTCTAGGCCGGAGGTGACGAGTTTGCCATGCTTGACTTTCTTGAGTCCTTCCTTCTCTCCCTGAGTGTTGAGTCAGGACGTGCTTTAGCTGAAAGCCCCATGCAGTTTCCTCCTTTTTGAAAGGCATGATCTAATCATGGCAGGATCACGTTCTTCAAACATGTTTAGTGGTGATAATGGGATTAGCCTCTTCTATTTCTGACTAGGAAATAATCAGATCTTCAATGCAAAGCTCCTAGCTTGAAGCTGTGTGCATTTCCTGTAGGATGCGCATGCTGCTTAGACAACTGGAGATGACTCAGTGCCCTGTGTGTGACCTGTAGCCACCCCTTGTAGAAGGAGACTTCAGGGAAATAGAACTACTTTTTTCTTTTCTTTTTGTTTTTTAAACATTTAAAACAATTGTTTTTATTTTATGTGCATGAGTGTCTTGCCTGCACATATGCCAGTGCAGCCATGAAGTACCCAAAGAGGCCAGAAAAGGACATTAGATCCCTGGAACTGGAGTTACAGACAGTTGTTAGCCACCATGTGGGTCCTGGGAACCAAACCTGGGTCATCTGCAAGAGCAGCCAGTGCTCCTAATCACTGAGCCATCTTTCCAGCCCCCTTTGTTTGAGACAGAGTCTCTCTGTAGTCCCAGCTGGCCTGGAACTTGCTATATAGACCAGGCAGGCCTTGATCTCACAGAGATCACCTGCCTCTGTGGGCTAGACTACTTTTTCAATAAGACTGCAAATTGCACTAGGCTCCAGGTGACCGAAACTGTTAGGATGAGAAAGATTGCCCACATGTTCTTGCCTGGGGATCAGTGTGTGTCATATTGTTCCTGAGAAACAGCATCACTGTTTTTATCTCCCTTCATCCTTCTGTGGTGGCCAGGATGCTCATTTTGAATTCATCTTTAGTTTTGTCTTTGAGGAAAAGCAGCGTACATCTTGAGCTAGGTTTGGGAGTAAAATCTATGGCCAGAGGCCAACACGAAATTAATGGCTCTTCTCCATCCCAAAGCCTTTACCTCTGCCTCATTGGCCCTGGGCAGTGAAGAACTGAAGTAGCCAGCTGTAGATCTTTATTGTGCAATTTTGAGGTGAGGATGGGCAAAATCCCAGGGCTTGAGAGGCAGACATGTGGTGACCAGAGAAATGACATCAGCGAGTTGCTGACGTGGTGCAGGAAGGGGAGATTCCAGGTGCTTCGCCTTCTTCCTGCATGTGGGGGTGTCTGAAGCCGCTGCCAGTCCTGTCAGCAGTTAAGGCCTCTGCCTGGGAAAAGCTTTAATTCTTGCCTCCTGTTGTCCCAATGGGGACCTGAAATCTGAACGTTGGCTATGGGAACAAATGCCTGAAGCCTGGACAGACTCATGCCACCTTGAATACCTGTTGTGACACTAACAACTGACTAAGGTTTGTAAACCTTATGAATATGAATATTTTATGGATATACAGTGAGAAAGAGTGTTGTCTGCAATCTGAACTGGGAATTAACCTTTCCTTGGGCAAAAAAGCAGTCTTTGAATTAGAATGTGCATGTGCATGCCCTTTTTGTGGGGAGGCATGTGTGTGCATGTGTCTGGAGGACAGAGGTTGACATCTGTTTTCCTCAGTTGCTCTCCACCTTATTTATTTTTTGGCCTTTTTTTTTTTGAGACAGGGTCTCTCTGTAGCCTCAGCTGTCCTAGAACTCACTATGTAAACCAGGCTGGCCTTGAACTCACAGAGATCCACCTGCCTTTGCTTCCCCAGTGCTGGGACTAAAGGTGTGCACCGCCACCAGCACTTGCACCTTACTTTTTGAGACAATCTCTCAGTGGTCTTGCAGCTCATTGATTTGGTTAGACATCCCTGGGATCACAAATATGTCCCACTGTGCCCCGCTTTTTACCTGGGTGCTAGGGATTTGAACTTAGCTGCCCATGCTTGAGTGGCAAGCACTTTACCAGCTGAACCATCTCCCAGCCCTGATTTAAATCATTTTAAAATTAATACAATTTGATGCCTCAGTGCAGATACTCAGCATCCAAGAGGAGGGCATTTCTAATAACTTCCTGTATTCTACCTCTGAGCTTTCCTTTGAACAAAACCTTGCAAGGCCCTATGCTGGGTGACAGATTGGAAAGGACATGGCTGCAGGATGATGTCTCTGCTCATCTGGCTCTGTGCAGGCTTCTGGGAACTGTGGCAGGGCTTTTTGGGAAGCCTGAAGTCAGCTGTAAGACTGGAAGAAGCTCTGAAGCATGACAAGAGGAGCCTTCTCCTTGCCAGCTCTTCTCCGGTCCGATACCGAGTTCTACCCTTTTCCCTACAGATGTTAGAAAGCGAAGCCTGTTGCACAGAAGGCAGATGGTGCTTTATACCAAAGATTGGAACTCCTATCCCTTGGCCCACGTCTGGATAGCTGTGGGTTTCTCTAAGATCCTTGCTCACATTCAGGTGTGGTCACTGGCTGCACACTCTAGGCCGTTGGGAGCTAGCTCAGGCATATTCTGCCTGGGAGTCTTTCCACCCCTGTCTCTTTGGTCTTCCCTGGGGCTTTCAGATGTGAGGTTCTTTCCAGCCCGACCTCTGAGCTACTGAGGTGCTTGTTCTAAACCCAGTGCCTCCCCTCCTGGGCCCAGGAAGCTGTGGGCAAGCTCTTGATTTCCTTCTCAGTTGGGCACTTCTGGGAAGCCGTGTATTCCTTTCTACCCAACTCTGCCTGGGGGCTATGTGGGGTGAGGTTGCTTCATGCTTCTGTGATGTGTGATGTGGAATGTTAAAATAGTTCCCTGGAGTCTAACTACTGAGATGGCTAGGGGTGTTTGAAGGTGGAACAACTTTTTCTTGCAATTTGGTGCTAGAGGCTAGCTATATGGGTGTCTCTCTCCCCTCTCCCCTCTCCCCTCTCCCCCTCTCCCCCTCTCTCCCTCTCCCCATCTCCCCCTCTCGCATGTGCACGGCTTCCTGTCCTCAATACTACCTCTCTCTGAAACCTGGCAGCCAGTCTCTGTACAGTGGGAACTGGTCAGAAAGGAAGAGCCATCGGCTGGCTTCAAATGTGTTATCCTCCTGCATCCTCCTGCATCAGCTTCCTAAGTGCTGGGATTACAGGAGTGTGCCACCATTCCTGGGCTCAGCATTAGTTCTTTCTAAAACATTCACAACTTGCCTCCCTTTCTCCCTGCCACTCTGGAAGCAGGGGGTGAAGAGCAAGGCCAGTGCTCAGTTTCCTGTGATCTTTGGAGTTTAGGTAGCTACAGCAGATGCTTTTTAGGAGGAAGGAGCTGAGAGGCAGGCATGAGGCTAGCTCCTGGCTGTCATGGAAATGGTATCTCCTCAGTCTGGCTGTGTTGCTGTCTGAAAAGTGTCAGTAGGTGTCCCCTTCCCCTGAAGGCAAGTGCCTTTACCTGGTTTAACAATCTGTGGGGCAGCAGTGTTAGTGCCAGTAAAGTAGGAAGAGCCCAAAAGGACGTTAAAGCATCAACAGCTGACAGATGAGTCTGAGAGGATGGCTCTTGCCCATCTTGTGTGTCAGGGGACCTGGATATGGAGAGTGGAGGTGAGCCCTTCTAATGATCAGGAAGAGCAGACAATCTGGAGAGGGAGTGGAGGAGGCTGACAGAAGAGTAGGAAAGCTGGGGATGTGTCCCAGAGTGAACAGAGACTGGAAGCAGTGGGGAGCTTCTGTCTACTGCTAAGCGCCTTGGTTGTGATGACCAGGAATGCCTTCCTTTGGGTACAGGCCCCCCTGACTGGCCTTCTTGCCCCGCACCCACAGTATACCTGTGTGGTTCAGCTTATCAGGGGAATCTTGGCATAGAATGTCATGGGCAGAGCCACTAGGTCTGAGAGTAGCTGGCCAGCCTGAGTCTTATGGTCTGTTTTTTATGGCTGCCTTAATGCTGAGAAGCTTCTTGGTAGCTGCCAGTCCTTGCTGACTTGGTCTATGGTGGTCTCTGTGCCTTGTACGTGCAGAGCCCTTCTCACAAGTGCTGTACATCTTTAGAGTTTAAAATGATGGCTACAGCCAGGTGTGGTGATACATGCCTAGAATTCAGAATTCCAGGGGTCAAGCCAGGAAAATTGTGAGTTCAAGGCTAGCTTAGTTCTATAGCAAGTTCTAGGCTCATCTAGGCTATATCATGAGATCCTGTCTTAAGAAAATAATGAAAAAAGATGGGGGCGGGGGTTGGGATACAGCTCAGTGAGTAGAGGTCTTGCCTAGCAAGCATAAGGCTCTGGGTTTGAGCCCTAGTACTGCATAAACCAGCATTGGGGAAGAGGAGGATCAGAGGTTCAAGGTCATCCTCAGCTACATATTGAATTGAAGGCCAGCCTGGGGTATATGAGACCCTGTCTCAAAACAAGTGGGGAAAGGGGCTTAATTTAAAACAGAACTAACTCAGAGGCCCAAGTCTGAGATGTGTATTAGAAGTCTTGGCGCTTCCTCCTCCTGTCTCTTCCTTCCCTTTATCTTCCCATCCCCGACAGGCATTGTGAGCTCTGCCGCTATCATCCAGGCCGATCAGGATGTTAAGAATGGAGCTAAATATAACTGCACTCTGCTCAGCATGCTTGGGCTCCTCCACAGAGAAGTCGATTTGAACTTGGGATGGGTCCTTTCCTCCCTAGAGTGGGAGAGCAGGGAGGAAAGGGTGGGAAAGTGCTTCAGGGGTCAG